TAATATATGACAACTTGTTGATCAAAACCAGGCACACGTAATTTCATTAGTAAAAATAAACAAGGACTAAAGATGAGCGTGTTTTTAGTAACACTTTTTTTAAGAAAAATTAATTACTTAGTCCTTGTAATTTTGATTTAATTGTAACTCATTTTTAAAATTTTAACTCAATTATAAATTAGTTTCTAAACTTTACTTCTTATAATTTAATTTTTAAAAGGGTTTAATAATTTAGTCACAAAGTGAACCTAATGGGTATTGGAAGCGACAAAGTGAACCTAGGTGGCACACTGCTATAGGACAAGTCTAATGAACATGTTCATCTTTGGTTCTTGTTTAGTAGTGATTAAAAAATTGGATCGGATTTGGTCTTTGAAAGGGTTTAATAATTTAGTCACAAAGTGAACCTAGTGGTTGGAAGTGACAAAGTGAACCTAGGTGGTGACACTAACAAACACGCTCATCTTTGGTCCTTGTCGGACTGGTCCGACCGTCGACCAGTTTGAATTTTGGCTCGATCAGCATGTATAAATTGTTTTGGGGGTTGAGTCAAGTTAGGTCGTTTTGGATTGACGGTCAGATCGAAAACTAAGATGAAGTCAGGAATTGAATTCGGTTTTCAAAAACCGAGCTGTTAAAAAAAAATCTTTTTTTGCCTTTTTATTAAATTTTTTTAGAAAATGACCAATTTTTTTAATCATTTAATATTATGTTGTATCATGTGGCTTGTTAAGTCATAATAAACTTAAAATATTTAATTTTATTTTTAAGTTAAGTAGCAATTTCATTTTTTTTATGTTTATATTATTATATATATGTATAATTTTTTAATTTAATTATTATATCATCGGTTTGATCATTAGTCTAACTCAATTAAACTATACTAATTGTAAATCGCTGATCTTCCTGATTCAATATCCGTTTGAAAACGTTGTTGTTTAGTTGTTTATAAAGATTGAATATTTATAAAAAAATAGCAAGTGGGTATTGGAAGCGACAAAGTGAACCTAGGCGGCAACACTGCTACAGGACAAGTCTAACAGTGCAACTAGCTAGAAGCCTTGAACGGACCGTTTTAGAATTTAAAACCTAACAGTCTGATACTGACACATCAATTACATTGCTTTTCTTAGAAAAATCACATAAATAACAATCCAGAAGATGTTCTGACATGAACCTTACTGAATATTGACAGTACATACCATGTAAAGTGCATTTGTTTATTGTTAGATGTGATCCTTATAGTATGTCACATTCCATAATAATTTAATTTCATCATCTAAATATTAGTCCTAATTAATAATTAATGTTCAGGGTCCTTGTAATTTCTGGCAAAAAAAAAAAAAATCCCTTGTATTGGAAGCCGTTTTGTCGACCTTTTTCCTAAAAAATATTGATAGAATTGAATGAATTCAATTTAGAGCAATATGGTAAAGTAGTGGTATTTTTTAAGAACTTAAGAACATAGCATAATTTCAACTATTTTTAATTCGTGTGAAGAAGTTAAAAATAACTTGTAATAGCTAGAGCAGATTCATTGGTAAATTATTATCATGCGTCTATCTTATATATTTTTTTAAGATATAAAAAAAATTAATTTTGAAAACACATTTTGAGATGATGTATAGTATTTAGCTTTATATTTCTATACATTTATCTTAAATTTGTGTAGAAATATAGACGTTATTTTTTTAGTTGAATAACTATGTTTCTTTTCGAGTCTGGTTGGTGCTCTGAATTCTCCTATGGCTCTAATTGTCGCCCATGAACCTCCTCTCTTTCTCTCTCTATCTCTCACACACTCTCTTTGGGGTCAAATCTCATTTCAGATGTGAGGATTTTGTTAATAGGTAATATATAAGTATCTTTATAAACACTTTTTAAATTTGGAAACATGTTATGATTCTAATTGAGATTTGACTTACTTAAACTTTTCTTTATATAAAAAAGAAGATTCTTTTTATAGTGGGCTGCAATCTAATTTTTATTTTCCAAAACTAAGATATACACGTAATAATAGAGCTGATTTCTAACTTGTGAATCTTATGTTACAATCATGGGTCTAATTTTTTATCACTATGAATAAAGTCACTTTAGAGGATTTAAATTAATTTTTTCTTCTCATTTCCAATAAATACTCTAAGCGGGTTTAACTGCATATCCTCCCAAATCCACATTTATATACATAAATTAATAATTAATAAATCAATATTATTTTATAATCATCTTCCTTTTCTTATTTTATTTTAGAATAATAGAACTTTTAGTTCCTCAAATTTGTCTCAGTTATCATTTAATCCCTCAATTTTAATTTTTATCAATTTAGTTTCTCAAATTTACTTCGATTATCATTTTGGTCCTTATTATTTAAAGAGGTTATATTGTTAAAATTTGCTCACATAATATCATGAAATCTTATATTAAGCAACTCAAAAACAGAAAAATTACAATTAGAAAAACAAACTCACAAAAATGGAAAACTCTATTCTTACAACTGTCGAGTTATTAGTTGAATATCACTCTTGATCTCTATGGGATGTTAAGCAAAAAAAAAAAATTCTAGAATAAACTCAATAAAATAGAAGGCAATGAAGAGAACAAATGGCAAATGCGAGTGGTCTGGAACTTAAAAAATAAAATGTCCAGAACTGGGCCAAAAGGATGTTCGGCAGCCAATAGCCATGTAGATTAATAAAAAAAAGTATAATTATTTAAGTAGCAAAAACATATTCTAAAATTTTTTAAAACAAGAGAACAAAACCAATTTGAGGGTTAAGAATATACTTTACATGTTAGATTACTTTAAGAATAAAATATAGTGACCTCCTTTCTATTTTGCTTAAATTATAGAGACCTCCTTTATATTTTCAAAACCTACATTATAGTCCAATTGTTAACACCATTAAGAATATTATGTTAAAGATTCTAAAATATACTTAAATTTTTGTAATTATTTTGAAAATTTTAAATTTATTATTTGACCCTTATAATTTAATTGTATACTATCTCTCTCCGAACTTTAAAAATTTAAATAATGAATTTGATATTTAACTAAATAATTTTAAATTTTATGTTAAAGTAATAAAATTTAAAATATAAATTATATTAAGTAATTTATTATATGAAATCCTATTACGTCATTCAATTTTTTAACCTTGTCTATAAAATATTATTTTTGCCATTTTATGTATTGAAATTTTAGAAAATGTTACTAAACAAATATTTTTTATATAACTAAAAAAATTAAAATATAAATTAAAATATTTTTTCTATAACCTTGTCTATGAAATATATGAATGATTTTTAGATAAAAATTATATTTAAATAAAAAATTTAGCTAATATTCTAGATTTTTTAGGGTTTAGGGTATGGGAATTTTAATGTATTTAAATAGTAATTTTAATAAAATATAGTAATTTCTGACTGTTATAGCTATTATTTTGTGTAAATTTGTGGGGTTCAAGCAGCCCCCATCTATACAAAAAATACTATAAATTCTTGACTGTTGTTTTGAAATAACAGTCAAGTGTATGGTAAATTTTCACCGTCAAGTATTGCCCTCCAAAATTGACCAACAGCTAGATTTAGAAGCTAATACTTGACTATTATTGCCACATAACTGTCAGGCAAGCCCATCCTAAGGTAGCTTGTGATATATGGCGCCACCACTGTCAAGTAAGGCAAAAAAAAAAAAAAAATCAAGTAAGGCTTTTGCTGTGGTAGTGGCCTTCGCGAAAAAGTCCTGGGCATTTTTGGCATTTAACTCATATAATAATTATGACATTATAGATTCCTTACATATAAGCCAAATTTTCTTGTGTCACAATCTCTCTCTTTTAAAGCAATAATTATGAAGAGAAAATTAAATTCAGATTGCTTTCCCATTGGCAATAGCCAATTAGTCTCTTGTCCTTGTAGGTCTTAATCAATTATTCTCTCTATCTTGTTAAATTTTTCAATCCAGATAAAGCAGAGGTCCAACTAGACCCGTCGAACCATTTGAAAATAATATTAAATTATTTGGTTTTAAGATTTGCAATTACAATTGCCTAATATGACAACTTCTTGTTCAAAACCAGAACAAGTAATTTCCTTAGTAAAAATAAACAAGGTCCAAAGATGAGCGTGTCTGTTCCTTTTTTTTTGGTATTACTTGCAAGTGTCTTTTAGTTAAATATTCAATGTAAAAACAAGATAGTGGGTATTAGAAACGACAAAGTGAACCTAGGTGGCGACACTGCCACAGGACAAGTCTAACAGTGCAACTAGCTAGTGGGCTTGAACGGATCGTCATAGAATGTCCGTTCCAACAAGTCATGGAGTGTCAAAACCTCTTAATGTCCATTCGAACACGTGACATGTGGGAGGACACAAACCTCAGCACCAACATGACAACCAAATTTTGACAAGGATGTAAAATCTAACAATCTAATATTGACACATCAATTACATTCCATTTCTTAGAAAAATATCATAATTATCAAAAACGCAGACGGCCGATCATCTCATCATTTTCATGGATATAGAACATGCGAAACTGTGACTCTCTTGACAAGAAGTCGAAAGAGATGCCATTTATTCTACTAGAAGATGCATGCTAGTGCATGCTTTGACATTAGAGTCTGATATGAACCGTACTGAATGTCATGAGCCCCAATGCCACCTTTTTATTTTGTATAAATATTCTTACATTGAAATTTGTTCCACAACAATAATTGATCACGAAACCTAATCAACTTGAGAAACGATACATGCATGCCAAAAGCCTAGGTAATTGCCTAATAGTCAACTGGAAGTTCTATTCGTACGAAATAACTACGAAAAAACAACGAAGGCGAATACTTTTCAAATAACGTTTAAATGTGATGAAAAATTTTTAACATGCAGAAGGATGGGGTTAGGGTTTTCAAGTATATAAGCATACAGAAGGATGGACTTCCCCATCACAAATCAAACTCATTGCAATTCGTAAAGCATTTCATTTCAAAGAGAAGAAACAGATGGCTAGTCCTGGAAGCATTGCAACAAACTGGAGAGAATTCAGTGGCGAACATCATTGGGAGGATTTGTTAGACCCACTTGATATCAATCTCCGTAGGTATATTATACACTACGGAGAAATGGCTGAAGCTACTTATGATGCTTTTAACTGTGATAAAGCATCTAAGTACGCAGGAAGAAGCCGTTATGGGAAAAAACATTTCTTTTCCAAGGTGGGTTTAGAACATGGAAATCCTTTCAAGTATGAGGTGACACAGTTCCTATATGCAACCTCAGAGATCAATGTTCCCATAATTGAGGATGTTGAAGAATCAAACTGGATAGGATACGTTGCGGTGGCCACCGATGAAGGCAAAGCTGTGTTAGGGAGGAGGGACATTGTGATTGCTTGGAGAGGAACTGTTCGGTTCATGGAATGGTACAAAGATCTTCACTTCGTCTTGCATGACGCCCCATACATTTTTGGTGATGCTGAATGCAAAGTACATCGCGGCTTTTACTCCGTTTACACCGCAACAAACTCACAAACAAAGTTCAACAAAACCAGTGCAAGAAGTCAGGTACAATATACGTGTTTTTATCATTTTTCCACTACAGCAATGTAAGCCATCACTATATTTTATAGATGAAAGGAGATATTTGATGTTATTCATCTCTCATTGTGCAGGTATTGACTGAGATTAGAAGACTGGTTGACAAACACAAGGATGAAGAAATCAGTATAACGGTAACAGGACACAGCTTAGGAGCAGCACTTGCAACACTGAATGCAGTGGACATTGTCAGGAATGGATATAACATCCGAGAAGATGAATCTCAAAAAGCTTCTCCAGTCACAGCCATTGTATTTGCTAGCCCTCGAGTTGGAGACTCAGACTTTAAGAAGTTTTCCTCTAGTCAAAAGGATCTTCGAATCCTACGAATCTGTAATAAAAAAGATGAAGTTCCAAGGCATCCTTTTTGTTTATGGGGTTATGATGAAGTAGGAGAGAAGTTGGAAATTGATGCTCATAAGTCAAACTTCTTAAAGCAACCTGGGGATATGAAGAGTTGGCATAATTTGGAGGTTTACTTGCATGGAGTTGCAGGAACACAAGGGAGCAAGGGAGGATTTAACTTAGAGGTTAAAAGGGACATCGCACTTGTGAACAAAGGCATGGGTGCTTTGAAGGAAGAGTATTAGATTCCTGAGGCTTGGAGGGTGGATGAAAACAAAGGCTTGGTTCAACAACCTGATGGTTCTTGGATCATGCCAAATCCTGAAGCTTAAGATGATGGTTTTTAATGAATAAATTAGTTAATTTATTTGCATTAATGATGGAAATTATATTTGTTTTGATTTAGGGTTCATTAAGATTTAATTTAGGGCCTAGGGTTTACTATTATAGTTAGAGAATAGAATTATATGTTAATCTTGTAATTAGTTACGATATGGATAGGATCAAATTTGTCCTTTGTACTGTACCAATATTCTCTGTATAATCCCTATATACGTGTCACAATTGTATTGGATACTCTACATTATTTATATCAATGAAGGAGCCAGCCTCCACTATTTGATTCTTCATCAACACGTTATTTTGTCTCTGATTTTCTATCTATTATTTATTTGGCATCTTGAATTTATTTTATCTTTAAGTATTATCTTAAATAAAATAAAATATCTAGATTAGCTAGCTAGCTATCTATCTTATTGTTATCTTTTAGATTATTGTTTGATCTAGATTTATCTCAAATAAAATAAGCTTCAAGTTTTTCATTTGTATTCAGTTTTAAATTTTGAATAGGAATTATACAGTTTTCTCCCTCCTCCTCTTTTCTCTCTTCCCCTCTCCTCCTATTACACATCAATTGGTACTATGACCTGGTTCCTACTTTCCTTCCCTGTGTCATTTGAGATCTATTGAAATCCCAAAGCCAAACAAGGCATCAAGTTTCATCCCTAACTTGTGTTGCTCCCACTTCGTCACATTAGCGGCCCTACCACCACCGTCACCTTTAGCTCCTCGATTTTGCTTCAGCCATCAAGTTTCATCCCCAACCATCACCTAATGTGCACTCATGTGCCACTATCCCCTTCTATGTGTGGGATTCAAATGCAACACATACAATAGACATTTGAAGTTCTCATTGGTGTGTGGGCTCCATGCACCACATGCCCTGCACGAGCTAGAAGTTCTAATTCTCTTTTCTTTACTATCTTAATTTCTACGTCTTTTGTAATGACACAAACATTTAAATTAAATGATTTTCCTTCCCCATTTGAGATTTTATTTAATTAATTTAGTTATAGCACATGAACAGTATTAATCTAGTGAAATTTGCACTTGTTGCTTACATAGAGATCTAGAGTTCAAATCTTACTTAAACCAAGGGTGAGTTTATTTTTTTTTTTTACATGGAAAAAGTACTAATGTGCCCATTGTTTTTCTATAAAAATCTGATGGGGTGTTATTTTGAACTTTTCCCCAACAAGTTTGGTTATTGTTTTGTAATTTTCCCAATAAACTTATTATTTCATGTTCTCCGTTCCTCTAAGTCGGTCATTTGCGTAGAGCATAGAGGGAGAGATGGCTCGTGGTTTTCCTCTGTTTTTCTTCTCCTTCCCGTTGCACTGGTTCCAGCTTTATCGTTAGCGTGTGTGTCTTCTCCACGCCGGAAACTCGTTCACTCCCTTCCCTTTTGCTGTTCGTCAGTTTCCTTAAGTGCTGTAGCTGAATTTCTCCTCTATTTCTTCGTTCTTGCGTGCTGACAGAGGTGAGTGTGTGTTTGTCTCTTTTCTTTTCTTCTCCTCAACAGTTGGGCGTTAGTGTGTGTGTGCATAGTAGGCTAAATCGTTCCTTTTTCTGATGTGAAATTACTGCTTCTCTTCCTCCTCGCTGAACCTTGTCTGCTGTGATTCCCACACCTACTTCACGCTCCTCTGTCTCTTTCTTTCCTCGGTGCTGGTGTGGTGTGCGTGGGTGACCAGAGAGTTGGGCGTACTGAATCTTGTTCCTTCCATCTTCCTCCAACGGGCTGGTGCTTAGGAAGTGAGTAATTGCTTTTTCTTCTTCTTCTTCTGTTTTTCTGATGGTCTGGCGTGTTGTGGCCGTTGAAGATAGGAGCTGGAATTTTGTTTTACTTGTTCCCGCTGGTTGTTAGTAGGAGAAGAGGAAAATTGAGTTTCTTTATTATCTAAAGTAGTGAGGTATCTAAAGTAGTGAGGAAGAAAGCTTATTGAGTGAGTATATACATGTTAGAATTTTTAGTTGAAATTGCTAATTTTATTTGCTGCCAAATGTGATTTAAGTGTTGACTGAGATTTAATTTTAGATGCTTTGTGTTTTTGATGATGCTAGAATTAATGATGGAAGCTGATTAAATTTTTGGGTACTTATTATGAACTGAACTTTGATGAATGCCTTCGAGATGTTTGTGAAAATGCTTAAAAGAATAATGTTAAGTGGTCATGATATAGCTTGAAGGAATGTACGTATGTGAGTAGTGGCTTCAGCTAATGATTAAAATTTTAAAATACCAATTAGGAGCAAGGATTACATAAGATTTTTGTATAGTACTTTATTAAGTTTAAAGGAAGCATAAGAATAAATTGACATGGTTTGTTATGATTTATTATTAAGGATGGGCTACAAGGAGGTATAAGAATGAATTAAGATTTGTCAAATAGTTTAATTGACTCAAGTATACTTAAAACTCAAATGAAGACAGTGCTATCTAAATTATTATTTGCAAATTATGACGTTGCTTATGATTTGGTTTATATTATGTTTTAAGGTATTTGAACATGAAATTTGAAGGAGACATGACTATTTAATTTTCATATTAGAGCATAGAGCATTATAAATGCAACTTGAGGAATTATATATATGTCTTTACATATATAACTTGTAATGTTGAGAACTATTGGAATTGTGTATCACCTAAAGGAAAATTGTTAAACTATTTTGGTAATTATGATTTTGTTAAGTTGGAATAAGGGTTGTGATTGTTGTTTAAATTGAATATTGCCAAGCATTGTTGAATTCCTTGATGGAAGTTATTGGAGGGAGGGGTTAATGAGAAATTTAAAGAGTTATTGAAGAGCTTGAATGCTAATTTTGTTTGTTTATAGTGACAGAAGAATTGTTAAATTATGTGTTAGGTTACTTAGGGCATCATTGAAGTAAGTGAGAATTTGAGGGGTCAAGCTTTAAAACTATTGGAAACTCTCAGGTGGGTGGATAGTATTTCAAATATAATTCTAGTAATGTATTTTTTAAAAAAATTTCTCATTTGAATTTTACTATTATTCCCTTGTAAATTGCATTAATATATATTTTTTCAATTTAATTTTTATAATAATTGTTTTAGCGATTGTCTTGTCCTGATGAATTTACCAATATTTGATGTTGTTATAGCTTAATTATTTAATTCCATGTTTGGCATGAAAATGCATTTGGACAATGGGAAATTAATAGTTCAACGATATGGTTGAAAATAAAAATTTTGATATTGTTGTCTTGTTTTATGCATGCTTGGTTTTTATTAAGGGAGACTGAGTTTAAAATGCTAGTTGTTAACAATAAATCCTGATAACCTTGATGCGCTATGGTACACCTAACTACCAGAGTACTTGTAGGAGGTGCTAATTTCATGTGCAGGCTAACGCACGTGGAACAGAGGGGTGGATATTTGTGAGCATTGTACTCACTTTTGTTTCATGGGCTTTGTGCCTGTGCTTGTTTCGTGGCTTTTAACAACGCTTGATTATTTCATGGCTTTAAACTGTGCTTGTTAATTACTTACCCTCATGAAATGTGTGTCTACACTTGTTAATTGTTCTGATAAAGTCCCAAAAAAAGTGAAATTTTTGAAACTTATTATTGTTAAAAAAAGTGAAAAATATTGTAAAGTTAAATTCAATTTTGTTTGGAATATACGCACGTACGAATCGTGTAGTTTTTGCTGTTGTAAACTTTGGTGTTTGAAGAATTCCAACTACAAGTTGCCTAATTTTGCGTAATAAAATGGTAAACTGCCTAAGCGCTTTTACTTTGAATTTTCTACTAATTAAGTCAAAGCGTGTTAGCTCTTGAACTTCACGTGAATTCGATGATGTCAAAATTAAGGTTAATTATATGTCTTGAGTCCGAATAACATTACAGTAATAAATCTACATAATTGCCAAAGAGAATCGATGGACATGGAAAAATGTTACGAGGATCATAATAGAAGAAAAGAATCATAATTGGAAATCAACATTAAAGTTGTGTTTGGATGGGTGGATTCAAGTTAGGAATTTAAATTTAAAATCTCATATTTGAAATTTCACATTTGAAATTCATAAATTCTAAATTCTTTATTTGGACAATATTAAAATCTTTTGTTTGGATCTAAAATAAAATTTTATATTTTATATTTTATATTTGATTTTTTTTTTTAAAAAATTGGAATATTAGTCAAACTTGATGATTCAAATGGCCAACTTCCAATGGGATCTAAAATTGGGAATGTGGCACCAATGACTACCAGGACGAGACCTTGGACTTTCACTGGGATCGGATCGTCGCAATAACAAGGATGGGATGGCCGACTTCCACTAAGACCAGATTGATAGCGACGACGGGGATTGGAACGGTGAGGATAGGGATTGGAACAATGGAGATGACGAGGACCAGACTACCAACTTCCACCGAGACCAAATCGATGATGACAATAGGGATTGAATGGCCAATTTCTACTACGACAGGACCGATGGCTACAACGGGGACTGGACGGCTGACTTCCATCAGGACCAGACCGATGATGACGATAGGTATAAGACGGCCAACTTCCACAAGGACTGAACCAAGTATGACGATTGGGATTGAACGGACAACTTCTATCAAGATCGGATCGATGACAATGACAAGAATCGGATGGCTAACTTTCACCAGCATTGAACCTATGGCGATGACAAGGATGATTGCCTTTTATTACCATCCCTTCAATCTGGTTTCCGTCACCATCGCCGTCAGTCTGGTCCAGTGCTTGTGGAAGTTAGTTTTTCGGTCCTACTCAATGTCGGTTTGGTCCAATAAAAGTCAGCCGTCTAATCCTGGTCGTCGTCATCGTCGGTCTTGTGCTGGTGGGAGTCAACTGTTCGGTCCCCATCATCACTGTTGCTCTATTCTTGATGAAAGTCGGCCATTCGGTGCTTGTCATTCCCATCGGTTTAGTCCCAATAGAAGTCGATTGTCTGATCTTAGTTGTCTCCATTAGTTCGCTCCTTGTCATCCCCGTTGGTTTGG